CCCCGCGCCTTGCCCTGCCCCCGGGCCGCGCGGCTCCGGGCAGATGCCAGTAGCCGCAGCAGCGCCCCGCAGCCTCCGGCTTGGTGGCTCGGCACGAGGGCGCCGCTAGTTGAGCTTCAGCCGCTAGAGCCGTGACATGCCCAAGCACTCGCTTTTCGGAGCCGCGCTAATAATGACCGGGCGCTTCTCCATTTCTTGCGCGAGTCGCCAGGGCTCGTGTGACAGCAGGGGGTCAGGTGGCCATCGCGCCATAGATGTAACGTAGCCGGGGCGGCCGCTGCCCCGGCGGGAGGAGCCCGCAGGTCTCCAGCCCCGAGGCTGCCCTCGCGCTACAAGCGGGTGGCTCTGCCTGCGCTCCGCGGCCGCCGGGGCAGGAGATGCTTGAAGCCCGGGCGGCGGCCCCGGGCCCCGCGGGGCGACGCTGCACTTCGCGGGGAATCGGCCCGGGGCTGGGGGGAGGGAGCCAGAAACCCCTCCCGGGCCCGCTGCTCCTTTCCTCGCGGTGCCCCCTCGCCGCTGCCCGGGCCCGGGACGGCCACGCCCCAGCTCCCCCCAGCCCGCGGGGCAGGTGTGGTGCCCGGCCCAGCCCCACGCGTGTGCGCGTGTCACGCCGGCGGCCCCTCCCGGCCGGGCCGCTGCCAGCTGCTTGAGCCCGGGCTGGGGACGCCCTCGCTTATCTCGGGCGAGGCGGGCCAGGCAGCTCCTGCAAATCCACTCAGCTCCCGCCGGCGCGGCCCTTTGACTCAGTCAGCGGAGCTGGTGGATGAGACGGGAGCGGGGAAACCCGCGCGCTCAGCGCCCCCGCGTGGCACATCGGCCGCAGGCGGCGCGGAGTGACTGCGGCCTGAGTCCCCGCCTCCGCCCCGGGGACGGGAGCTGTCAGCCAGCCTGGCACTTCAGGGCCTTGGGGAGACCCCTCCAGATTCCCCTTTGCGGGTGCCGGTGCCAGTGCCAGTGCGTGCAAGGGCAGAGCTCGGCCTTGCTGGTTACTGTCATAGCCCAGGGTCCAAAAGAGCAGGTAGACTACAAGATGGCCACAATTCCAGGGTAATATTAGGACAGGTGAATGGCCTGTAACTCTGCCTTTACCTCAGGGAAAACCAGGCAACAGCAGGTCCCTTTGGACCTGCTAAATATTGTCAGAGGATTTCACACAAAGCACTCCCCTCCTATGTGAAGCCACATAGCAAAATAGAAAGCCAAGCCAGGCAGGTAGCTTAGGGAAAGGTGAATCCCAGAGATTTCTATACAGGATGCAAGCTCCTGGGGAGATCTGTGAGCCAAGCCTAGCTCCTGTATCAGCAAAATACCCAAGACACTAACATTGGAATTAGAGGTCAAATCTATTGTCTCCACAGGGTTGGTGTAAATTGAGTGAGTGCTTATTTTTGCTGCCAGTGCCAGGAGCTCTGACTTTGTTGCCATGAGTCTGACCTGCTGAGTTAGAAGGTGTCATTTTGATAGTAATTTCCTAACACAATTCCAGACTGATACTAAGACAGGTGAAAGGTCTCTAAATCTGCCTTTACTTCAGAAAGAACAAACTAGAAAGCAGTGGCATGGCCCCTTTGTTCTTAGCGTACAGACCCCCCCCCCCCCC